TGGCCACTCTCCAATCGTAGAGGTCGTCAGGCTGTTGCAGGATGATTTTGGTCTGCAGAGGTGCACTCGTCGATTTTCGTTTTTTAACTCTGAGAGTTTTGGAACTTGTGGTTTGAGGTTGAAGGAGTTGTAGGTTTCTCGTGGTGTTTTACCTGGACCCTTAGGTTTTTCACTTCGGCCGGCGTGTGGCAAACCGCAACCAAATCAGTACGCATTTCTATAAGTGTGTGCGGATCGGAATCTGGCATACACTAGAGAAGTGGTTTTGGTGGAGGCCGCCAGGTTTCTTTGATTTGGCTCCTGGATGCTTTTCGACAGGTTCATGTTCGAAAGCCCGTAGAAGCACCAGTCGCAGTCTGATCTCAATCTTTGTGCAGAGATGTCGTTTCTGCCAGTATCCACCAGTTCGTCACCGGTTCCGGGTCGAGTGAGTCGAATTCGAAACTGTTTTGGGTCTCGACTCACGAGGTCTCACCAGCGGAGACCTCCAAACAAAACGGGGGGCGCCTGAAAGGTCTTCTACTATCTGGAGGTCTCTTCCGTTCGACCTTGGCTCCGCCACTTGGTGATCCAGAAGTTCTTTGGGTGACGAAGCAACCCTACACGTCCAGCCCTGGGTGTTTGGTGACGTGGAGAGACTTGGGGTTGCATGGGGGGAGACTTCGACAACGGCTGCAGATCTGGAATCGGACTTTCCCAGAAAAGGCCTTCGTTGTCACCTGTCTCCCTCCAGCTGCATACTTTCGAACAACATGGAAAAAAATTGAGCCCCCTCCCTCCCTCCCTCCCTCCCTCCCTCCCCTCCCCTCCCTCCCCTCCCTCCCCTACCCCCCTCCCTCCCTCCCTCCCTCCCTCCCTCCCTCCCTTTGTATACGAGTTAGACCCGGTGATCTTTGTTGGTTTTCTTTCACCACCGAAACATTTCGCCGAGGAGTGGGTTGGGGATGCGATTCGCACGGTTTTTCTGAAAGATGTCTCCCCAAGAGAACCGATTTATGATTTATTGTAAGGGCTCCGCCCCCTGCCGCCGACCCCGGGGAAAAGGCATGAGATCGCGGACGGTGGCCAATTTATACCCTACTCCGCCAACAGCATTTGAAACAAAAGCCGTTAATATAAGAGTCTTTGTTCGCAAGGACCCCCCCCCAGACCCCACGCACACCACGTCCAAGTTAAACCTCAGGAGATCACACATCATGGGAAGGTGTTGATGGCTGACGATGGCTGCATGCCAGGAAATGTTAAATGCAGCCAAAGTGACTTCTTGATCTTCAAGTGCGACGTCGAAATCCTGGCTCGGCTACAATGTATACAACAGATCAATACAGCGTGGATATATCGATCGATCGATGTGAACAAAAACACTTCATGGAATCGTTCAAGCTGGCCTCAGCTTGCTACAGCGAAGAACAGCACGGGCTCGTTTGTTGGAGGATGTTCTCAATGTATTTATCCAAGACCCTCAGCAAAGAAAACTGAAGAGAATATTCAACATCTAAGGGATCAATAGTTCCTGTCATCATGAACACTGACCAGTTTTCACATTCAGCGGTGTATTTCTTGGAGCTAAACAACTTTGTTTGGGACAAGGGTCGTTTCAGCCAAGCCATTCCATCCTCAGCAACAAATCCATGATGCATTCTCACGTTGCATCCTCAGCAGGACAGATGGGTCCTCCGCCTACGCCCCCAGAATCTCTAACGTTGCTTTCGGAACCCGTAAAATAAGTCTGTGAAGCAGCGTCGAGCACGCCCTGTCTTCGCTTCAAGCCGCCGGCTGTCACGGAAACGCCTCGGAAGCATCGAAAAAGCCGTTCTCTCACCTCTGGCTGGTACACAAGAAGCCGTTCTCTCACCTCCCACGGGTCCTCTGGCCACGGGTCCTCTGCCTGGCGCAAAAGAAGCCGTTCTCTCACCTCCCACGGGTCCTCTGGCTGGTAGACACCTGTTCCGAGTGATTTCCTCCGCCACAGCTTTCCACAATCTAATTCGAGACCAAAAATCGCCCGAAGGTGCGCTTCCCGGTACGCCCCCAGAATCTCTCACGTCGCTTTCGGACCCCGTCAAGCAAGTCTGTGAAGCAGCG